ATAAACACACACACATACATACATATATCTTCAATAGCTTTTATACAAGGAAGTTATATGCTTAGGTATATAAATGCCTGCATGTCAGTGATAACTTCTTCAAATTATTAGTACTATTTTTTCATTTTTTATTTCATATTTACGAATAATAATCATTTGTATATTTTATTTATTAAACACACGCACGTGCGCACACACACGCACACACAGGCACACACACACATACACAGACACACATTTACGCATGCACACAATATACACACATACACACATACATATACACACATACACACACACACACATAAACATCTTCCACAAATGATAAATACATACATCACCAGTGACAACAACAACGACTGCAGCAATGACGTCACCGTCATCAGCAGCAGCAGCAGCAAATATGACGTCATATTCTACAAAAATAACAACAACAACATCAACAACAACAACAACATCATCGTCATCCAAAAATGTTAAATCTCCCTGTTATGGTGAGTGATTATTTATTCTTTCTTATAAATGATGCCTACTTCAATTGTTGTTGTTAACAATGGGAACAATCTTTTATTGACCGAAAAGATGAAATCCAAATGAAATCAATCGAAAATTATTAATTATAAATTATATATCAGAGTGTAAGTAGATAAGATGAAGAATATACTGTACGATCCTCCCATGCTCTTTGATCAGCAAGTGCTCGAGAGTAAAAAAATATATTTAAAATCGGTCAAGTAGTGTTCCTGTCACAATGTATGCTATATGTTAATAATTCTACCATTAAAAGGTTTTGGCCATAATATTTTAAACAGAGTTAGATTAAAATTGTTATAAAAACCCACAGGTGGTATTTCAAATGAGTTAATAATTGACGAACAGTTATTGTAGACAGAATTTAAATTTAATTTCGAGTTTTTATATTTCTGGCGTTTGTATTCACGTGATGAAGCTAGGTTGGCTGGTTGGTTGGTTGGTTGATTGATTGGTTGGTTTGTTGGTTTCGTGGCAAATCGTAAGCTCTAAAATTTCGATTTTGTTTTTTTTTGGAAAATGGCAATGTGAGGCCGCAACTTGTCGAACAACTGTTACATTGGACGCACATTTTCAGCATTAAGATCGACAAATATGCAACAGTCTGATGGTGCAGAAATCTTTAACCAGTTAGTCGACAATCAACGACAGCAGTTTCTTATGCCTGTCCGTCCGTGTACCTTGTGAGAGCCGCTGTAGAATCACAGTTCGAAACAATCATGTTTATTTGTTTGGCGATAATTCCATAGAGGACATAGAAATGTTGTTGACTTACCTACTCCATTTAAATAAGTTTGCATTAGTGGGAAGCCGTCGTATTGAATACTTTCTTGATGTTTATTTTCGATCTTTGATGATGTTTGTGATGGGGGAAGTGTACTCGCTTATTGCTTTAATTAACAAAGCTACTGATGTATTACATATTTTCTAGTAAACCTATAGAGCACACTCGGTAATCATGGTAATAATAATAATAATAATAATAATAATAATAATAATAATAATATTGAAGGTGATGACGAGTTTGATAAGAAAGGCGGTGAAGTTACTGCTGCTACTTCCACTACTACAGCCGTCGCTGAAAACGGGATTACCGCTCGTGATGGCGATAATGATGACGATGCTGAAAATAATAATAATAATTTTTGTAATAATAATAATAACAGTAATAATAATAACTATAATAATGATAACGATGATGATAGTTTCTCTGATTTCGATGATGTATCTGACTTTGATGAGTATGACGATGATGAACAAGTTTGTGTTGTTTTTTTTTCTAAATTTTTTTATTTTGACGAGGCCTCAGGTTCAGTTCCATTGTTCGCGATGGAATAAGGAGTGAACGTATGAATGGTTGAATGAATGCATGAATGAATGAATGAATGAATGAATGAATGAATGAATGAATTGTTGAATAAATAAATGAATAATTAAATTAACGAATTGAAAAAACGTATGAATGAATGAATGAATGAATGAATGATTGAATGAATGAATGAATGAATGAATGAATGAATGAATTGAAAAAAACGTGTGAATGAATGAATGCATGAATGAATGAATGATTGAATAAATTGTTGAATACATAAATGGTTGAATGAATGATTAAATTAACGAATTGAAAAAACGTATGAATGAATGAATGAATGAATTGAAAAAACGTATGAATGAATGAATGAATGAATGAATGAATGAATGAATGAATGAATGAATGAATGAATGACAAACTATCACAGACGGGGCCCAGCCCTTCGAGTCCCTTGGATTCCAACCATCACCCTCTAATAGCAGACGAGTATAAGAAATCTTTCAACGTAGCACGTGAGCTTGTACAGACTGAAGTCTTCTATGTCCAGAAACTTCATCTCATTGATCAAGTGCGTGTGTGTGCGTGTGTGTGGTGTGTGTGGTGTGTATATGTGTGTGTGTGTGTGTGAGAGAGAGAGAGAGTGTGTGTGTGGGTAT